TGTCCCATCCTGTTGGTGCCTTTTCTTAGCTTTCTTACAAGTACGTCTCATTTACTAGTCTGCAATTTCTTCACATATGCCAAAAGGGAAAATTCAGTTGATAGAAATTATGAGGATGTTTTCGCCAGTACATCCTCAGAAGATTAAGCATTACTGGGTATGGGTCGAGAAAGAAATATAATAGGTGATAGTTATAGAACTGCTTCAGTATGTAAATAAACTATCTGAAATACACATTTTGAGAATGTAAGTACAAATGACTGACAGATGCACATTAGAAAACTTCCAGTGACATTCTAATTTGTTCAAACTGTGAAAATCAGAATTAACCTGTTACACTAATAGCTGAACTTTGTATAGGATAATTGTGTTCATAATCTAGCAGTGCTCCAATTTAAGATTTATCTTCGCCTGTTATTTACACATATTTTGAATATAATTTTGGAAGCTCTCTCAAGAACATCCTGTTCAGCTCTGAGCTAAACGTGATTCCTTAAATTTGACAAACTCAGAGTCTTTAGTTTTGGAATCCAAGGCAGAGATTGATTTTTTTTTAAAATTAAATGTGTTTTCTTGAGATTTATCAATCTGAAAGAGAACAGTTTGAATTACTAATCCTTCATTCTTGTTCTAAAAGTTAGCTAAAGGAAATGCAAAGTGTAAAGTCTTTCCACACCCATGTTTAATAAGACATTTAAATACAAACTCACAAACCACTCACTTTTCTAGTAATAAACAGGTTTGCTAATTATAAGAGTAACACTGTAAGCAAATGAAGATTTTATAATCTGAAAAGTCAGTTTCTGAACAAATTCAGTAAGTAATATGAGATGACACTGCCTGAATACAACTTAATTTTCTTTAGAACCACAGATTTTAAATCCAACAATATACAATAGGCATGTGTTAAACTTCAAAAAGTAGGACTTCTCAAACCATAAAATATTTCGGACGGGTTTTTTTTTTGAGAAATGTTTATCAGACTTGGAAATCTAATGGAAAATTCACTGACCTCTAACCAACATTAGATTTTAGAATACGGAACGTATAAAAGAGGCACCAATTATTATATCCCACTGCACTGGGTTCACTTCAGCATGAAGCATAACATTAAACACAGCAGGAGCACACTCTTGAATAAATCTGCATTTTGCTTATGAGCATTTTACATATAGGAATTAAGCTTTCATCTGGATTGAAACACATGTTATAAAGACATTAGGTAAAATTAATCCTACACACTGCTCACAAACTTGTCCTAAAAGCAGAAAAACAAACAACCCTGTTTCTTTACTGGAAGGCAAACTGCTCCCCCAACCAACTGACTGCCCCAATCCACTAAAAATATTTCCGAAAATATTTCTATGGCTCAACAGATAAAGGGAGATTTTAATATAGTAAACTTTTGCTAACAGCACAATCTTGTCTATCCATAAGACAAAAGTACTTTGCAATTGGCTAAAAGTTTACTAGTACACTGACGTAATCAGTCTTAACAGAATTTTAGGGATTATATATTTTAAAAAAATGCTTAAATATAACTTGAAAAATCTTAGAATTAAAACTATCAAGGTTAGAAATATATATTTTAAATAAGCTGCGTAAGAGGATACGTTCAGCACATTAAGATTATTCTGGAAATTAACTGCCAGCTATTTATTGTAGGGCTGGATTTTTCCACTTTTTAGAGGAGACTGAAGTTAATTGTGTACGGAACTGAAATCTTGTAGACAACTATTAGAATTATAATCTTAATAGTGCCCCCACCCATCACTTTCTGGTCACATTCACGTGTCTTTGCCTATCCATGAGAAGTTATGTTCTCTCAAAATCCTTCTATTTAGTTCCTTCACATCCACCATCATTCCAGAAAAACTGAAGTAAACAAGATGGCACTCCGATCCCACTGCTAATCACTATCTGGAAGAGTGTCACCATCTTGAACAAGAAGTGCAGCCTCCATAAGTATAGCATGTTGTAGCCAAAACAGCAAGTCCAGAAAGACACATTAACTAAGGTTATTTTTTAAAACCTTGCTTACAAGGGCAATGCTATAAGTTTGTATGCAGAAAAAAATTTGAGTTAATTAGCTGTCATTTACAGATTACCACCATTTTAGACCATAGATTTAAAATTTTAAAATTTTACTGAAAGAAACAGCAAGATATTGGACTTTTCTACACTCTAGCATGCTTTTATTATAAGCATTACCATGACACATTTCATTTCTGTACTATTGTATTAGATAGCCAGTGGCACATTTGAAAGGTACACCTGGACAATTTAACAGCTTACCTCCAAAATGCTAATGTTTTATAACCGTAAACTTTATTAAAAACCAAAAGTACATGGTGCTGAAGTTTAACATTGTCTCCCAGTAAAATGTTGCTAATATTCCATTGTAACTGAAGCTAGTCTTTAAATAGTTTTCAAAAGTTTAAAACCAAAATATATTTATAAAGTCTAGTTTTAGAAGGAGAATAAATTTTGCAACCAAGCTTTTAGCTCATATTAGAGGATGTAATACCCGAGTAACCTTTCTGACAAAGGCTCTTTGTTGTAAATCATACTGCGCCTACTGCCTCCCCTCCTGTCCCCAAAAACTCCCCCCCCCTTACACCACCAAAATAGGATTGCACAGAATGTAGAAAGGGTCCTTTGAAGACTGGAGGCAGAAAGGCTATTTTAGAAGTTGTACTTCAAGAGTGTTCAAAATAGCAAAGGAAAGTGGACTTGATAGAGCCATCCTAACTCACTCACATTTAACTTACTAACGTTTTCAAATATAGGTTATCTATTAAAGAAAACTAAGTAGAAATAGAAGTAGTCCAAAGGTAGATATCTTTTCTATTGAGGAATACTGAATCCAATAATTAGGAAATGAATAACTAAAAGATCACTTAATAATAATTAGGTTATATTCTGCCTTTAATTTTCATATAAACTTTTCAATCCACACTCCTTAACTCTTTAATCAATAGCAACGAGGATAGTAATATATATTTCCAACTTATACCCTGGAACGGATCCCGCAATTAAAAATAGAATTGGGCCCTCTCTTCACAATGAGCACTACTTTTTGTTATACCCTATTTAGCTGGTCAGGATTTGAGGTATTCACCACTGGAAACTGGATTCAGAAAAACATTTTTTTCATTTAAATCTTAAACAGGAATATATTAAGTCCAGTTTCAGTTATTATAGAAAAGTAGCAACACTTATGTGGAAATGTTATTTACTAATTCTCAAATTACAGCAATACATATTTTAAGTCTGTGGTCCAACTAGCTACACTCACCCAGCCAAATAGCCCAATGTGGCTAGCGGCTAGTGTGCTGGACATCACTGCTTTAAGTGCTCAATCAAATGGAGAGCCATATTTTAAAACGTCCTTGCAACAAAGTAGTTATGCTAATAATCCTTACATTTACACAAATATTTTAGCTATGATCCCCAGCACTGTCACAGTCCCCCATTGGTAGTTATCCATTCACATGCCTTTTCAGTAATGAGTATCTATTTGAAGCAGAGTTCTAGAGACATTTGAACAGGGAAATTGACTTGCTTTATTCAAAAAGGCTATTTGCACAGAAATCCCCTGCAGAGTTAACAATAGTATTTCAAGGCCAGAAAAGAAGGGAAGGGTAAAAAGGGTGGGGGAGGAGAGCCACTAATGTCAGTTATACAACATTCACTCCCTATTCCCATGATCAGATGAAAATAATGGAACTCAAACATAGTGGCTCCCACTTTGGTAGTCCAGAAAACTCGTATAATAGGTGAGTTTTTACTACTTATTGCCATTCCTACTTATAGCAACTTCAACAGAAATAATAGTACAAATAATACAATCTTTCGAGTTTAATTTTCAGCCCTGCTGGGGGCAAATCTTTTCTTATCTAATTATAAAGTACAACACTGAAGTTAGAGAGACAAAATGCTAACTAATATGGAGATTCCAAATAGATATCCCTCTTTTAGCAGGTGGTTATTATAGGAAGGACTGCTACAAGCAAAGGAAGTTGAACAAACCCAGTGATCTATCTAGTTTGTTTTGTGATGGAAGGGTAAAACTGGAAACTCCTTTGGCAAAAATGATAGACCTGATGTATAATCTATACCTCAATTATAACAGCTAAGTTATTCTATGAAATTCATTTACATACATGAAGTCTCAGAGCAGATTCCTGAACCATTCAAGTAAATCATTTTATACGAGATTATTTCTAAACTTGGGTAAACGTGCAAAATTATTTTTTTTTAAAGCAGAGTATTATGTACATTTTCTACATGTATATTTTACTGAACTGACAAGCTAAATATGGTTTACCTAAACATCCAATTTTTTTGAACTGGGAAGCCCTGTATGATTTTGCAGGCTTAAATGGTGATGTAGAACACCAGCCCATTCACCTTTGAACCAGGAAGTGAAAGTAAGAATTACAGGACTGGTAAATTCTCTATAAAAAAAACCATTTTTTAAAAAGCTTGGATAAGCGTTTGATGTAAGCTTTACTTACTTCATTGTGCAAGGCTAATTTATGTACCCAAATACTTTACACTGCATAGACAAATCTCTCAGTATTTCACATTAGAATTAACTCAGTATTGATACATCATACCGAAAGGACAAACTAGTTGCTGAATCTCTGCCACGCTTAAGCAGCACAATAATATTGGGGTTAAGATTTACATTACTACACCAATATTTACGTGCTGCTAGGGCGGAACAAGTATAGCAATTCTTCTATTCATCCAAATTTCAGGAACACGCTTGGCAGCACAAACCTTTGGACTAGAAGTATCTTCAGCTGTTTCTCTTCCTTAAATTTCCAAAGCAGCAAATAATGATTCGCATTTTTGCTAAAGCATGCAAACCATGATGTGCTGCTAGAGTACTTTAAGGTCTCAAATATAAGGCTCAAAATACCTAGACAGATTTACTTTGTTAGGAGGTCAAGAAAAGTTATATTTTTAGACTCATAACTAACAAGACTTACTTGTAAAATTAAGAATCTATTATGGTCCAGGTCAATCCCATGGCTTCGAAGCAGAATACCAACATCTTTGAATGTTTTCTTCTTTCCACTGATGTGATAGACAGAAGAATTATCTCTGTAGGCAGTTCTAGATACGCAGAAATTGCTGTTGGGAATGACTTCATAATCATCCCCTTCCTGTTTTGAGGAAAAAACAAAACCAGAAAAACAATTGTTAGTATTAAGTCACAAGCTTACTTCAAATTTTATAGTTAAGTGCAATTTTACCCTCATGTTCAGGCTTTTACAAGGCAACTGTACCCTACTTCCCAGTTCTATTGAAGCATAATAAATCTCAAAGCATGTACACATCACTAAACATGCAACATTTTTGCTTCCAAAAAACAACATAGAAGAACTCTATAGAGTTTAAATTGAGTGGGCCTTAATTTTATGCCTCTTCCTCCTCTCATCCTAGCTACTGCTTTAAAAGACCATAGTCTCTGTTTAGCATCTAATGGCAGATTATTTTCTGACTACAGTCTCCATGCTTATTGAAAAAGAAAAACCTTGTGCAAATTCAGAGAGGCTACTTCTTTTAAACTTTATATTAGGAAGCCTTGAGTGTTTTAACAAATTGCTGTCTTATTTTTGACTAACGTAAAGCTTTTTTTTTTTAAACCAGGGCTAGAAAAAAATTGTTACTTCAGCTAAGTTCTTCTGAAGCTATGATACAAATAAAAGATACAAAGACATAGTAAAAACAGACATATTGAACAAGTGTGTACATCAACATGTCCGTTTTTGTCATGTGTCTCATACATAATGTTTTTGTAGCTGGTCAAAAGATCTTTGCTTTACCCGAAAGCAACTTGATGTCAGTTTTACTGTACTTTTAAAAAAGAAGTTTTAAAGAAACATGCATCAGATAAAATTTTAGGAAGTGGTCTACCACTAAAATGGAATAGCCCCCTCCCCCCAAAATAAAATCCATTTACAAGTTGCTTTACTTCATGAAATTAGCTTGTAGATATTATGCAGATACAAAGGAAAGCCACAATAAATTTAAATATTGGAGAATACTATTACATAAGACAAATAAAATATTTACTTTTATTTATACATTGTTTAATTCAGACAAACAGTGCTTCAACTAAAAATGCATTAAGAGTGTTTTTACAATACCCTTGCCTGGAATCATATTCTGCTAATCTATTAACTAAAATCTTGTGACTTTCAAGAAGCTTTTTATGATTTACATCAGAGGGCAAGTACTCCTCCCCTTTTTTATTTCTTCAATTGCATGCACAAAATAATCCCAAACAACATTTTTTGGACAATTACTACATGAACAATGTTGAAAAAAATTATTGAAAAGTGTCAGAATGCTTTAAGTAAAAGCTATACATAACAATAAATCAACAATACTATATAAAAAGACCATATTAAGTAAAGAGGAACACAAAATAGATGTCTTAAATATTTATTTTTCTCTTTTGGTTGAAATAAATGTCAGTTCAATTTCTTATCCTTAATATTTCAGAAAATGTTTAGTCTTACTGGGTGAAAATCTTATGATTGCTTAAATTGATAACGTACTGTAAAAATAGCATCTGCATATTATAAGAAAAATTTAAGCTACTGTTAGTTGATATTGAAGAAGTAAATATCTAAGAATGATAGGTGTAAAAATTTAGTTTTTAAATCCTTAAATCTTAAAAAAAAAATCTGTGTAATGCATGTTACAATTTAGAACACGTCTACCTGGTCTCAGAGAGATAAAATAAAGTATTAATGAAATCAGTTGCATGAAATCCTAAAAGTGTCTTTTTTTTTTTTTTTTTAAAAAGAACATTTCTAATATGACCTGTTGGTAGAATATATTTCTTAACTTTAAAATAATGTATTAGCAAACACTGGTCATCCAGAAGTTCTACTGAAAAGTTGTGTCTACTCAAAGTGGAAAGTAAGCACTACAAAGAAACAAATCTGCTTGAAATTGTATACTTTTTCAGCCAGTTAGTTTGAGGCATTCTACTTCATAAAGGTGAATGGATCACACGGGCAAGTTTTTCCATCCCAAGTTCCACTTTAATAAAGAGATTAAAATGTTAAATTCCCAAATCCTTAAAAAAGGGGAAAGCCTCAGTATGGTATTTATTTAAAAACTGAAGACTACGTACCTTGTCAATGATCTTTTGAAAGTGAACTTCAACAGTACAACTCTGTATGTTTTTGTGTTCATCAGAATTATGGATCAGCACAGAGAGCTTTTTGGATCTGATTTTTTGTGCCCGATACCCAAATACAAAGAGCATTGAATCAATGACATTGGATTTTCCACTGCCATTTGGTCCAATAATACAAGAAAAACGCTGCATAAGAGAAAGAAACAACATTCAAATTTACAATAGACACTAGCTAATTTGCTTCATCTACTTCATTTGTGGACAGCTTAAAATACTGTTATTTCTACTGCAGGAAATTGCAGACTATTGGGAAGCTTAGTTTTTACTGCCAAGGGGGAGAAAAGAGTACAACCTATTCAAAACACACCTCCGGTGAGCTCAGATTTCGAAGTTTTATCCTGCAGACTCAGAAAGCTATATTGTACCCAATAAGCATGGTTTATAAAGAAACAAGTTCATAATTAACCACATAATTTGTGTTTATTTATGATTTAACCCTTTAACGTTGTTCAGTAAATCAAATAAAGCAAAGAAGATATATACTTAAGTTGTGGTTTACTTCTAATTCAAGCATGGCACAGTATCAAAAACTTAAACTTTGCCTGTAAGTAATTTATTATTCTTTAAATAAAATATAAGTATCGTCCTTAAAGCAATTCTCACTTTTCTGTATTAAATATTTAAAATATAAAGTTATTTGCAGATAAATTGTGTTCACAGTACTGTAAGGAGTACTAGACACACAACAAAATGCTACTTCAGTTTAGAAGTTGCTTGAAATAGAAAAAATACCTTATGAAAAGGTCCCAGAATTTGCTCTCCTGCGTAGGATTTGAAGTTCTGGTTTACAATATGAGTTATCATGAGGCGAGGAGCTCCAGCTTCATTGGTCATTGCTGGAGGTGGGGGAGGAGAGATGCTACTCAAAATCTCTTCTAAACTTCGATTATCAAGTTCCCCATTTCCATTTGAGTCAGCTAAAGTCATTCAAAATAAAAAGAAAGAAAACTATGTGTCTCAATGACGAGAGAGACCTTCTAAATGCCTATTTCAAGTAGAAAGTGTAAAATTTGCTTCTAAGCAAACTAAAAATCTATACTTTCACTTTAAATTATTAAAACTGAACGTAAGTGGAGTTAAAGCACCTTTCTTACAAAGAGCTATTTTTTTTAGAAAGTATCTACTTTAGATATTTATGATGCCCCATTCTCTTCACTAGTAGGGTTTACTCTTTGATTACATAATTCTTATTCTAAACACTTTACAAGGCAGGATGCAATAACAATAGTTACATTTTAAAAAGCCTATAAATCCCTACAAATGGACAAAGTCTTTCTAATTAATAACTGGACAGCCACATTTCAGGCATGCTCACACACACTGTAAGGAGGAGGAGATGTGGGGACTGCTGAACAATGCCCTGAAAACTGTAATGACAGCACAACTCATTCTTGAAAGGCAGGAAGTTTGTTACGAAAACAAACTGGCCCCTTGGTTTTCAATTATAGTTTTAAGTAAAACCATTTTTCAACTGTTAAAAGCAACTTTTTCTTTAAGTAGACAACTATTGACATCACTTTCCACATATTAACCATTTATCAAACATGTTACTAAAATAACATCACATACATGGCTACCTGAAAGGTTTTTTTTGTAAACAGATATTTCCAGCAGAAAATCAACTAACAAATTTTATGTAGGGTATAATTGCTTAAAAGTCATTATTTGAAGAATGTAAAGTAGTTGCCACATACTCTAACCCCAGATAAATCCCACAATATGGGATTTCATGTAGCTAAAATAATCCTGCTATCACAATTGTAAGACAATGTAGTAAGAATATGAAATCTAGGCTTAGTTGGAAGAAACATTGCTACAACAGCATTTTTACCTAAACTAAAGCACCAATGCAAACTCCTTAACTCTTTCAAAACCATATTTGCAGTTTTAAAATCAAATTTAAATTAAATTTGTCAAAATAAAATTACAATATCCCTTCCTAGAAAGAAGCTGAATCTGAACTGCAGCAGCCCTAAGTTCAGCAAGCTCCTATCAAGACACATCATCACTAGATTTATATGCAGGGTACATCAGAATCATATCAACACTTACCTTGCTGAGATGCTTCACTGAGGCTTGTGTCAGCTTCTTTTCCCACTTCCATATCACTGGTGGGTTCCTCCAAGGGTTCTTTCCCTTTTTGACGGGCTGCAGTGGAGGTTTTGGTGCTCTTGCTTGGCATGCTTTCTGCTGGCCGTTCCCCTCCGATTCCAAGCAATCAAACTACCCAAGGGATATGTCTCCTTTGCTAACACAAACAAGAAAAACCCCATGACCCAAGTGCTGGGCGTATCACCCGTTAAGGGCTATGACTGTGCATGTGTCTCCAAATGACTACTAAGAAGCTAAAATCCAAATGAATTTCAAAAATACTCAGGATTTCAAACAAAAACTAAAAAACAGCTTAGTTACCATTATTTTAAAGTTCCTTTAAAAGTTAGCTTTATCGCCCTGACTTATTTAAGTAAGGACATCCATCTACTGATATCCACATTCTGATGTGGCAACATGAAAACATAACATATATTCAAATAAAGAAAAAATATGACAGGTGTTATTTCAGAAATAAACACTGAATGAACAGGCCACGCAGATATATATACTTGAAGTACATATTTTATAGTATACACATCCCTCCTAAAGATTTTCTACCAAGAATTTTCAGTAACCCTATCTAATAATATTGAAATACTATTTCCAATGTATAGACAGTCTCTAGTCCAAAGGACATACTGAAATGTTTGTCTGCTAGAAATGCAGCTAAATGCTCACACTTAAAAGCAGCACACCAAATGAAAAGCAAATTAAATATCAAACAGATTTGATGTTAATGCTTGATCAAGAAAAACAACAGTAAAAAAGTCCATCACAGAACATATTGGCAGGTGCCACCCCCCGCCCCCAAGAATAAAAGGTAGTTCAGGAGAAAGATGAAAACCAAGAAACCTGAAGTAGTAAAATATTCTCCCCCAAAGTCTAAATTACTCTATCACAGCAAGTGGTGGATTTAGCTTGGAAAAAAGCAGGCAAGAAAGTTTATGACATGGTTGGAAAGTCATCTTATAATGGGTGACAATCATTTGACATTTTCAGTCCATCCCCCACCCCGAGTCTTTCATTTGGGATGGAGAAAGGGGATCCCATGAAGAAGTGTAAAGATAGAAGATGAATTCATTTTAAGGCAATTTGAGTATATGCTACCTCCATTTTTTATAATAAATTCTACAGATGTTTTTACACTTATTGAAATTGAATAGCATAAACATACAAAAATATTGAAAATAGATTGAGAGTAATTTACAACATAACTGTAATAATCTTTTAAATCTGAGTTCCCCAGCATCTTAATCTGGATCATCTTGCCAAACATGAATAACTAACTAGTTACTCCCTGATAATCTAATAAGTATTTATGCTCAAACCCAAAGCCCTGACATTTAAAAAAAATAAAAAATGTGTTTCTTAAAAGCAACACTTAATGACCTGCAATTAAGTGTAAGTCTCACTTCGACAGGGAATTTTAAAGACGACTCCCCATTTGGAAGAGATTCAATTTCAGGGCAATAACTGATGTCAGCGAGAAGAGACTGTGCTGTACATCTCCCTGAGAATTGTTTTGAAATCAACCAGTCATCCTAAGCTCCCCACAGCCCCTTGTTCTGAATCTATAGGAGTTTCCCCAGAGTATAGTTGAAAATAAAATTATAAACAAGTCCTTAGTCTAAAGACAGTTTAAAAACCAGGCCTCTGAAGTTCTCAAGAAACTATATCACAAACTTGTTACTGTGCCCCTTCCAGTGACTGGTATCTGATGAATAGGTCCCCATAGGTACATAAGGATACAACGGGGAATCCACTCTGTTCCATAGATTGCAGTGAACCCCCCCCATGATTTGCTAGATATAATCCTGGTGGAGAGGTCGCCGCCCGGGGGCCAGAATCACATCTCTTCTATACGGTGAGGAGTCCTCGGGCAGGGCAAATTACAATGGGGTGGTACGACAGTCGCCCCACCCCGCGGGGCTGCAGGTTACAGAAGTGGGAAAAGGAGCCGCCGTCTTTCGCTCTCCCGAAGGGGTGGGGGGGAATGGAAAAGAAACGGAGGGGGAAATTAAGACCACCGCCCCTGCTCCCGCCAAGGCAGCTTACGTAGGAAATCTACAGCTTTCCCCCTGGCAGGCTCCATAGGGAGGTTCCCCAGCTCCAGTTACAGGGAAGCGAGCCCCCCAGCTCCACCTGTCCCCAAATTACTAGGTACTTTGCTGGAAGCGCTGCTGGTCGAGCCGCCCCAAGCCTCGCAGTCCTGTCAGCGGGCAGAGCTAGTACCTGGGACGCGGAGCAGGCGGCCAGCTACCCCGCCAAGATTTCGGATGACGCTGGCTCTGGAGAGTGCGGCTCTTGCCTGCTGCAGCTTGGCGGCTTCTACACTCGAAAATGGCGCCCAAACGCTAAACTCGAACCGAAATTCGTTAGAAACGCGCGAAGCATGCTGGGTACAGAGGGGGACGGCCCTCGGCCTCCCACAGGTTTGAAAGGAGGAAAAAAGTCCTCCGGCGCCATATTGTTTTCCGTTATTGCGCGGAGCAGGGTACTAATAGAATAAAACCATTTACATTGTTTTGGTATTTTTTTTAATTTAAAGCAAACTAAAAGACCGTTATTGAAAGGTGCCTAAACGGGGAAAAATCCTACAAATTTAAATCAGACGATGGATTAACGGGAGGAGCTCGGTTGCTTAGTAACTGCCTGAGGCGATAGCGGACGAAATTTAACAAGATTTAAAAAAACTAACAAAGAACATTTAATATTTTTAAAAGATATTAACAGACGGGTGCGGTGACGTCAGCGACTTGTCACCTGGTTTGGGAGGGTCCGTTAGGTGGAGGGGGGAAGTACGGAAGTCTCGCGCGGGGATACGCGCAGGAATGTCGCGGGAAGTCGCTATAGAGACAGCGCAGCTTCTCTGCGGGAGTGGCTAGCAGCGCGGAGAGGAGTGAGACTAGTAAGTGGTCTCGTTGAGTTCCCTCATTCCCTCCCCCCCGCGTCAGGAGTTCTTGGTCAGCCTGAACTGGGGAGGAGGAAGTTTGTCAAATCCGTGAGGGGCTGGGAGCTGCCTACGGCTGGGAGTGACTACTAGCCGGAGCACCAGCGACAGGATCCTGCTCTGGAGAGGGTTCTCCACGCCCTCCGCTCTCCCAACCGGATTTAGACCCCTTAGACGGACCAGCTTCATTGGACAGGTAAATTGATAAGAGGGGGAAGCCCTTCCAGCTCTCCCTTTAACTGGGCTGGGAGTGACTATTAGCCGGAGCACCAGCGACACAGGAACAATCTTTATAGTGGGGCTGCTGAAAGCTATTGAAACAAACTAAATTCCGTATAAAACGAAAGCTACTTCGAGGAGATATAGCATTACCCTTAATTCCAGCATTTATACCCTGTCCTGGGAAAGTGGAAGGAGAAGCCCTCTAACCTTGTAATGCAACGGACTGGAGAGGCAGCCCATTATAACTTCTGTGGGGAAACTGGGAGGGAGGAGCCTCGCCAAGAGAGAGCTAAGGGAACAGTTTATCCTAGTTTGTGTTACGCGATCCCCCACAGCCTGCCTTGAAGGAAGGGAACGGTAGAATTGCTGATCTCTCTCCCGTGGTGTCAAACCAGTTCTAAAGCAGTGGCCACTGTAGTCTGCTCTTACTACATTTAAAAGGCAGAACCACAAGGGGGTAGGTGCAGAACCTGGTGCAAGCCAGGACTCAGCAGTTCCGGCTCACTCCAGGTCCCTGACTTTTGCCTCTTCCCGCCCCCTCCCACTTACTGTGGAGACAGTGCTGGGGGAGGAAACTGGCTTTCAAGGACCTGAAAAAGGCTGGGTAAATCTAGTGTAATGTGGAACATGGAATATGTTGAAGAGTGGGATTAAGGAGCTATGTAAGGGGGTTTATGTGGGTTATTATAGGTACAGGACTCTGCCTGGGGCATAATGAAATGAAGTTGTGCAGGAGGCAGGACTGTGGGGGAAAGCATGTAAAACACTGAGCTCTGTAGTGGGGCCAACGGTGGATAAAATATTGCTGGTATCTCTCTGAACAATTGTTGCTATTAATAAGTTTCTTTTTAATAACAAAAACATTGTTAGAGTTTAGGATAGGGATGTTAAATGATTACAGTTAACTGGTGGGGGTTGCCCCAGCCCATCTGGAGCAGCCCCACCCATGCTCATTTAATTGGTTAACTGGTTAAACATAAATGGGGTTTTACATCCTTAGTTCAGGATACTCAAATGAAAAATCTTACAAATACCAAAAAAAGGATTAGTTAAAGCAACATTCTTTCATAATTATTAATGTCTATTAGGGTAATGTTAACTTGTGGGTAATCAACTAGTCAAGTAGTCAGTGGAAATTCCATTGACTAGTCAATAAGGAGAAAAACTGCAGAGCCGTACTGCGGCTTTGCCTTTTAAATGTATTAAAAGCTGCTGGGCTCTTAATACATTTAAAAAGCAGAGGTGCAGCAAGGGGGACTAGGAGCAAGCTGGGAATCAGCTCTGCCTCTGCCTCTGCCTCCTGTGCTCTTCCTCCCCCCCTTCTTCTTTCACCTTCCCCACCCCTGATGCCTCTCTAATAGAAGCAGCAAGGGTGCGGGGAAGTGACCATATGCTTATCAGGTAGTCAACTAGTCGCTTACATCCACAATGTCTATTGTCCTATAATTCAAATGCAATCACAGACATACCATTTGCATAACACAAACTTCCTTGCTTGATTATTTAGAGAGAAAATTAAATATGGCAGTCTTAAAAAATTAGGGTTTGATAAAATATGTTGTGAATGTATGTTGACTGTTTGTGTATTTAGAAATCTATCACATATTTAGACCTAAAATACATTAGGGTTTGATAAAATACATTGTGAATGTATGGTGACTTTTTGTGTATTTAGAGATCTATCACATATTTAGACCTAAAATACCAGGCTGCACAAAGATGAGACGGTTTAAGGAGCCAATTCGGAGAGGCACCTTCTACTGAGTCCTCTCCGCTCCAAGTACCTAATGGGATTAGGATTTAAATTAGTTTGTCATGATATTGCAAAATCTCACTAGACAGAATCCTTTGTCACTAAGGGGAGAGGGTATAAAACTATTCTATTCATTAATTGGAGGCTTCAAATCATGCTCACATTCTAAATTTTGACCCTGGCTATATTAAGACTTGGTCTCTGTAGACAGAAAAGTGTTATTTGGACATTAAAAAAGCCTACAGTAGGTAATTTTTAGATTTTATGATTATAAAGAATACCACCTGAATGAAAAATAATCTGAATTAATGAAGTGCTAACTTCCTGCTTCTGCAAATGGGCCACCTAAAACAGCAGTATACAGATATGAACTAGCACATTCATTTACGTATCAGCGGGAAGCTAAAGGAAAGATCAGACTAACACAACTACCTCTCTATTACTTTCAACATAGAGGAGAAGCTGCATTCGTATGTGACTGCAAAAACAGTGATACGTTCTATGGCGTCTTAAAGATTAACACAGTGGTCCCCAATCTTTTGGGACTGCCGCGCGCCCGGGGTGGGGGCCGCCCATGCGCCGCGCACCTGGAGGTGCAAGAATGGCTTGGGCAGGCCCTGGTCACTCGACAGGCGCACATAAATGCCCTGGTGGGCGCCATGGCGCCTGCGGGCACCGCATTGGGGACCAGTGAACACATTTCTTCATGCATAAGCTTTTGTGGCCAAATAAATCTGTTAGACTTTAAATTGCCACTGGGCTCCTTGCTGTCTCTTCATCTAAGTGGTGAGACACCCTAATGCTGTCAGGCACTATTATTAACTGTTTCTATGATGATCTTTTTATCAGACACCTTCAGATAGTGTTGCTGTTGAGAAGAGAATTCAAGCCCATTCCTCCCCTTCCATTAAAATCCTCTTCATCTTTGCTTTACAGTGTTAGAGGAAAGAAAAGATGCATCCTCCTTCTCTGAGCCAAAAGCCTCAAGCCTTTAAGATATTTTTTATTGTTCATTGTACTTAACGTTTGCTTGTGTCTGGGTTAAATTCAAAGTTGTAGTGACTAACAGTGGTATCTAAATACTGTACACTGCCCTCTGAAAGTTTTTGGTGGTCTCAATCAACATGCCCTTTAATTTTTTCCCATCCACATGTGATTTTTTTTTTTTCCAGCCTGGTACAGAATAATTTTATGTGCATCGAGGCATGTACACAACCAGTAGAAACAAAAGCCAGCTGTGAGCACTCTTGCTAACCAGCTAGGTAACATTTGAATTTCTCCTGAGCAGTCACACAAACACATAGGGAACACTGGTCTCAGTCCAGTTCCTAATGAATAAATGTGGGTAACATTTGAATTCCTCCTGAGCAGTCACACAAACACATGGGGAACACTGGTCTCAGTCCAGTTCCTAATGAATAAATGTGCATAGTACCATTTGTGGGTTTTATGATAACTAACATCTTTTTTAAAAAGAAAAGGTGGGTGAGAACATCTTTTATTGGACCAACTTATGTCAGTGAGAGAGACAAGCTTTGGAGTTTGTGCCATACTCAAACAAATGTCTACTGAGCTTGTGCAACAGTTTTGAGGTTCATAACTTGATCAGACTTGGGTAAATTTTCATGAGGGTGGCAAATGTCACATCCCTGACACCAAGGAAATACCTTATCCACCCAAATGTCAAATCCTTGCCTGAAAGCATAGAAGTAATAGAGCTTCTAGACAAAACATTTGTAGTATTATTTTAAACGTGGACAAAATAACATTTATCTCATAGTTTCATTCTTGGAAATGGCTAAATGGTTCTAATTAAAACTTTATTTTAAAAAAAAATCTGAGGCAGATACCTAGGATGGAAAATTTTAGTCCCTTAGTGTCCAATCAGTTCTGAAACAGTAGCCGCTATAGTGGCTATAGCTATAGCGAACTAGCTACACTCAACCGGCCAAATTATAACTATAGCGAACTAGCTACAATCAACCGGCCAAATAGCCACACGTGGCTAGTGACTAGAGTGTTGGACACCATGGCTTTAGTCGGTATAGTTAAAGTTTGGCAAGTTGTAAGCAACTGAAAACAAGATCTTAGTGGGAAGCTTTCAGGAAGTATTAGCAGCAATTATCCTTACCCTGTATTGACAAGGCATGATATCTTTATACTCTGGTTTCTCTCTCTGATTTTTCTTGCATTTAGGTGGTTTGTGATTCCAGACCATTCATAAAGATGATTCTGCAAGCCTAATGTCAGAGTATTCTCTAAGGTTGCACAATTTCAACATAAATTATTACAGTTAAGCAGTTCTAGTATCACTTGTTCTTTAAATGGCTTAGTATGTTCACTTTAATTATCTCCCTTTCCACACTGTAGATGCACATAGCATTTTCTCCTGCCAATGTTGTCCCTGCCCACTGTGGTACCCATTGCATAATTCTGAACATAATTCTCTTAAGCAGGTGCATAGCATGGAAGAAATCCTATATTTAGAAGCATATTGTATTTTAAGCATATGCAATATGTGCGTATTTTGGACCAGATCATCAGTTGTTGTAAATAAACATAACCCAGTTAAAGTCAGTATAGACACTGTTTATTTAAACCAGCTGAAGTTTTGGTCAAATATGCAATTTAATAATTATATCGGAGCGAGAGAGGCTTAAATCATTTTCTTTATTAGTCTGCCAGTTTATTCCAGTGATAGATTTTTTTGTTGTTCTGTACTGCCCATGGAAAGGTGCATACATATTTGTATGAACATGACAATGACTAGCTATGGTGTCTTAAGTTCAACTTGCCTCAGCTGGCATGTGATCAAGATTCATCACTGAATTTGGTCCACTAGTTTGGATCATTAGCTTTTCTTCCCCAAATTAGAGTACTAGTGAGGCATGCGACATGAACATTAATCAATGCCCCCAAGTAGTCAAGAATTACCACCAAACCTATTGCCTATAGCTGTCCTTTTGTGAACACCATCACTTATATTGCTCACCTATGCCTAGTTGAGGACTTTGTGTGAATTGTATTGCTGGCATTCTCTAGAACACATGTATGATGTTAATTGCTTTTATACATTTTATTGTGGATATTTTGATATTTTCCTTTTTAATGGTTGTTACTCATAACATTTTTTAAAAATCTTTACAGCTGAAAACTAACCAGTGAAAGAAACCATCTTTTATTCTTTTTAATGTTTCATCTGGACTAGCAGAACCAAGACCTTTAGAAAGAATGAGGCTGAAGACATCACTCTTAAAGGAACCAAAACATATCCTTTGTCTCAAAATAAAATATTCGTTTTACACTGCATTCTTTGTAAAATAGTATTATGTTAATCATTTTCTAGTAAAATCATAGACTCCTAGAACAGGAGGGGACCTCAAGAAGTCATCAAGTCCAGTCCCCTGCTCTCACCGCAGGACCAAATACTGTCTAGATCATCCCTGACAGGTGTCTGTCTAACCTGCTCTTAAAGATCTCTAGTGATGGAGATTCAACGATCCCTCTAGGCCAGTGTTTCTTAAACTGTGTTCACCAAAAGATTTTGGTGTTCCTCATTTAAAAAAAAATTGTTTGGTGTTCCTCAGTCTTAAAAAGTTTAAGAAACACTGCACTAGGCAATTCATTTCAATGTTTAACCACCGTGACCGTTAGGAAGTTTTTCCAAATGTCCAACCTAAACCTCCCTTGCTGCAATTTATGTGATGTGATTGTAAAGACGGTGCAAAATTACTTTACAAATTCTGGAGACTTTAATTTTTTAAAGATTGTTACTGTTTTCTGCAAAACTGTAAAGGCCCAGTACTGCAAGTTGTTGAGCACCTCAAGTAGAGTTCTTGGTATCTTCCATTTTCAGTAACTTTTGTTGGAATCTAGGGTGTTCAACATCTTCTACAAAGTGTCAAGATGTTGCAGGAAAGCTTTTTAATTGTCCCTTCACATACCCCTGCGGCTTCTTTTAGCGGATTAAATGTTGCAAGATTTTCTTTTGTGGTAAATAATTGCATTCGTATATCAATTTGTGTGCAATAAGACTAAAACAAGAGCACCAAGAAGTGTATACTTCCTTATTACTACAACCCTGTAACTCTTTCACAAGCAGTGGAGATTCATTTGACACTGCTATAATAAAAACCACAATCTGGTTAAATGTGGTTTTGACTTTGGGCAGGTCAACACAGCAGGGCTAAAGCCAAAATAAGCTATGCAACTTGAGCTACATCAATTGCATAGCTTAAGTCGAAATAGCTTATTTCAGCTTTTGGTGCTGTCTATGCATCAGGAATTCCAAGAGAGAACACTCTTCCTTCGACTTCCCTTACTCCTTGTAAAATGAGGGTTATGGGGTTGGAGTAAGAAATTCTCTAGCTCGACATTTTGTCAAAATATTATGTCAAAATAATGGCTTACTGTGTAGATGTGGACTATGTTATTTTGGAGTAACGTTAGTTATTCCAAAATAACACTGCTGTGTAGACATACCCTTAGGTATTTTGACACCGAGGCCCTCCTGTTGGTGGAGCCTAAGCTTTTATCTGTGTTTAATTGATGTATTGTTAAATTAGACATAATACTTTCAAAGTCACACTCTGTTAAATTCCTTTTTTAATTATTTTCTTCTAACTTTCTGTTGCTTCTTGACACAAAGAAAAGTAATGCAATGTAAAGATCTTACAGAAAGAAAAGTAACTTCTGCATGTAGATCAGTTTCTTTACATAGCCAAAATTAAAGAATTTGAAGTACTTTTTCCTTTAATTTTGAAATACTGAGAGAAGAGATGTAGTCTAAGATTACTTTCAGTAACCACAATTCAAGACTTCCTTAATTCAGTTACACATAAAGAATTGGTTAGCTGTGTGGGTTGGACTACAGCTGATGAGCTATATTCATGCAGTGATGATCACCATATCATGAAATGGAACTTGTTAACTAGTGAGACAACTCAAGTAGTGAAGCTTCCTGATGATATCTACCCCTTAGATCTTCACTGGTTTCCCAAAACTGTAGGTGGAAAGAAGCAATCTCAAGCTGAGAGTTTTGTATTGACAAGCTCTGATGGTAAGTGTTCTTCAAAATATGTGTATCTTATAAATACCCAGTAAAAATTGCTTCTGCCCCTCTTAAATTCCATATTATTTGCTAACATAATGTGTAATAAAATCAAATTAAAATGTAGCAAAATTTTACTGATTTTAAAAATGGATTGTTTTTATAAAATAAGTACATTTTTGTAATTACTTCTGAGATTAGATTATGTGATTAAAAACATTAATTATATCCCTTTTTATATAGGGTCAAGTTATGTGATCCTTATTGTATGATATCATTAGTACAGTGTTCTCAGTTTGTAGTTCATATTGAATTGATTTGAATATGTGCATATCTGTATGGATATAAAGAGTTATAACAATTATCAATTATAGCAAAATATATCTGAATTTTTTGGAAGGGGATATTAAACTTCAGGGTTTAAACCAATCTGTAATTGTTCAGTCTCACCCATGCCTCTGTGTAGCCTCAGGTTATCTCACAACTGTGTACTGCAGGTTCTTAAACTTTCTTAAGCATCTGGTTCTGGTCTCTGTCAGGGCAAGGATGCTAGACAGGATGGACCCTGTGGCTGATCCAAAATAGCAGATTGTATGTTTTGGATGTTATGATTTTTGTTTCCTTTTTTTATCCCTTAGAGATTTGAATCCAATTCTGCCATATATTGGCCAGTTGTATCTCTTTGATGCTCCTCCATTTAATTCAGTAGAGCTGTGTACTGCTGAGGGGGGGCCTGCTCACATATACTTCACAACCATGGCATGAAGTTTATACCTGCAAGAATTCTGTGCCACTGCGTATGCAAAATTTGTGCAGAAAATATTTTGTGTGGGGTGGGGTTTATTTTTGTTTTTTTTGCACAGAATGTCCTTTTCTTCCTGAAAAATAAGGGCTACAGAGCTGCTGGCCACTACTAAGGAGCTGATAGTTGTGGCAAAGCATAATTCACCAAGATGATAGTGCCAGGGGAAGTGGGAGGGAGCTGGAGGGTTTCCAACTTTGCTGCAGCTGCAGTTTTCAGCATGCCCTAAGGAAAGAGGTGGTGTGCAGGAATCTCCACACAAGCCTTGCACTCAGAATCAGGCTGTTTGGTTCTCTTGATCTTTGGGCTCTGGGAGGGAATGGATGTTAGTGTCTGAGCTGGGAGCAGCTGACCACCTGGGGCTTTGGGGAGAAGAGGGTGTGAGTTTTTGGGCTGGGGGCCTGCTACTGTGGTCTGGAGGAAATGGGGTACGTGAGTATGAGGGAGCTAGATGGCATCCTACAGCTGGGCTCTGAGGGTAGGGGATGCAAGCGCCTGGTCTGGAGGGCATCCTACTGCTGCTCTTTGAGGGAAGTGGGTGTGGGTTTTTGGCCCTGCAGCTGGACTCTTGAGGGATGGGATAGAGAAACAGGAACTGTTGTAGGAGTTTCCTTAACTCTACTTCTGGAGGAATTTTTCTTTGCATTGTTATGTAGTTGCTGATAGCTATTTGAAATAAATTACCAAAATAATTTGAAACTGGTATGATTCTGTAGTGTTTTGACACACAGAATTTTGCATGAGGATTTTTTAATTTTTTGGCACAGAATTCTGCTAAAAGTAATTAAGGGGGAAATACGTTTTTCCTGTTATTTTTTACTAGAAATCTTTCCCTCATCTTAATTGAGCTATCAAAGGAAAAGTTTTGGTGCAAAAACATAATTCTTTTAACTTTCTTCAGTAATGAAAATCCACTGTGAAATAACCCATCCAGGAAGGACTGTGCTTGTCTCTTTCTAGCTGTTCATGCCTGTTACCCAGTGTGATGGTAAAATGCAGCAATCAAGTGAAACTGAAGGAATCCAAAGGACACTACATAGTGTTTGAAGAGTACTCAAAGTACTTTCCTGTGCTCACTAGTATAACCCACCATAGGGGTTCAGCTATTTTTCATCCATAAATTAATCTCATCCAAACAGGAGACTGCTTATTGGTAGTTATAGAACTTGTGTGTCATCTGCATATTGCTGGCACATAAGTCTGTGTTATCTTACCACTTCTCCTAGTGGTGACATTGATATTGAACAGGACCAGAGAAATAAACTGATCCTTGTATGGGACTCCAGAGGTGAGAAGTCTGGTAGCAGAGGTGCAGTTTCCTTCTTGAGACTGTCCCTTTAGGCAAGATTCATACCTTTTTAGAGTGTTTCTTTCTGGACCCCTGCCTTTTCTCTCAAGCAGGACAGCAGTATTTTATGGTCAAGAGTATCAAATATTTCACTGAAGTTCCACAAGGATGAGAAAAGAGGTCTGTTCACCATATATTACCAGCAGGAAATCCCCCATTAATCCCACCAAAGCTATTTCTGTCCCATATTCCTGCCTGAATCCATGGTGTCAGCTGTAGGACCCTAGCTCCAGTTAGATGAGCTTGTTAGCCTTTGACTAGTTTCTTTGTAAGCTTGCTCAGGAACAGAAGATGTGATCTAGGCAGTTGATGTCTTGATCTAACATCAGAATGGGTTTCTGTGGTGGTTGGATTTACATGTGTATAAAGGAGGAAGGGGAAATTGTTTCCTTGAATGAGGCAGCTGCTGTTTGTCACAAGTGGAATCAATTAGTCACAATCCCTTCATAGATTGGATTCACAGGTTTTAGGTCAAGATCAATTAAGGAGTGAACAGACAGAACTTATGGAGGGAAAGCAGTTTAAAGATTGTCCCTCCCTAAACCAGGATTCTCTGGTCATGGTCCAACTGGACCATAGAAATTCCTAGGCCAGAGAGCCCCAGTGACTGGGGGTCGGCAGTTGGAAGCCTGGCAGTCTTGCGAGCAGCCCGGCAAGGGGAGCCTGGCAGTCCTGTGGCTGGAAATAGAGCCTGTGGTAAGTAGGGGGCTAGTGGCAGGGAACCTCTCCGGTCCAGCAAATTTCCTTGTTCGGGACCGATCAGGTCCCGAAGAAACTGGACCAGGGAGGTCCAACCTGTATTCGTTGGTTGGTTAATGAAGTGAGTCATATAACTTGAGAAGCCTTCTCCAATGTATATAGTCTTTTCAGCCCAGCAAAATGGTAGTTCTTTACAGTGTGTAGTGCAAGACTCTGCTATGGACCAAGGTTCTCTGTAAGGTGTGCTCTTGCGCAGGTGTGGAGAGAGAATTTTAGTTCTACCAATCTCCTCAGAAGAGCCGCACAGCAGTGTGCTGCTTCAAGGTTAGTTAATGGTAGTGATGGGCTTGGTGCAGGTGTGGGGGCTCACCTGGTTAGCTCTCTGCTGTCCCCAACTCCCCTGGGCTAGAGCTGGGGTGAGGGCCATGTGGTGGCTGCCTGGCCACTCTGCTAATGAAGCAGGGGAGATTTAAATCCCCGCTTTATTAGCAATTGCGATACGTCTAATTTACATCCCTTTTACGAAAAAGGGATGTAGTCTAGACGTAGCCCCTGGCTGCCCCATTCCTCTACCCGAGCACTCCTAAGGTGCTGCGGCCTATGGCATCCCCCTCCTCACTGGTCCCTTGGCCGACCTCACACTTGCACTGCACACCTGGTAAGTGCCCTCTTTGTTGCCTTTTTCTGAACCTTTTCCAATGCCAATATATCTTTTTTAGATGAGGTGACCACATCTGTATGCAGTATTCAAGATGTGGACATTCCATGGTTTAATACAGAGGAAATAAGATATTCCTCTTTCTTATTCTCTCTCTTTTTTTAATGATTTCTAACATTCTATTTGCTTTTTTGACTGCTGCAGCACACTGAGTGGATGTTTTCAGCAAACTATCCACAATGACCACAGGACAGACCCCTGTGGCACCCCACTGGTTACCTCTCTCCACACAGAAAACTTACCATTTATTCCTATTCCTTGTTTCATGTCTTTTAACCAGTTATCAGTCCATGAGAGGACCTTAGAACATAATGGCTGTACTGGGTGTAAGACCAAAGGTCCATCTAGCCCAGTAGCCTTCTTGCCGACAGTGGCCAGCACCAGGTGCCCCAGAGGAGGTGTACCAAAGACAATGATCAAGCGAATTGTCTCCTGGCATCCTTCTCCAGTCTCTGGCAAATAAAGGCCAGGGACACCATTTCTATCCCCTGGCTAATAGCCTTTTAAGGACCTAACCTTCATGACATTATCTAGCTTCTCTTTAAACTCTATTATAGTCCTAGCCTTCACAGCCTCCTCTGGCAAGGAGTTCCACAGACTGACTATGTGCTGTGTGAAAAAGAACTTTATTTTATTAGTTTTAAAACTGCTACCCATTAACTTCATTTGGTGTCCTCTAGTTCTTCTATTATGGCAACTAATAAATAACTTTTCTTTATTCACCCTTTCCTCTTATCCCATTACAACTTCATTTACTTAAGAACCTTTGGTGAGGAACCTTCTCAAAGGCTTTCTGGAAATCTTAAGTACATTGTTTAACTGATTAACCCATTAAAGGGTGGACAGGGGTTTGCTCCAACCAGGCTGGTGGAACTCCTCCACCCACTTTTAGGCTCAAGCACCCCCTCTTCCCGCTGCAGGCCAGAAGCTGCTCCAGCTCAGTACTTGAAATCCCACTGGTTTTGAACAAATATCTTATTTCTTAATTGTTTCATCATTATAGCATACAATATCACTCCCTGGTTAGCCTTCACACCAAAGATCACTTACAGTTGTAATGTGAATATTTTTTTCTTATCAAATGCTTTCATTACACTAAATGTGTTGTAATCTAAATAATTTTTATGCTTGGAATAGATCTCTTTAGAGAACCAATTGGTAAAAATGCTACATGAAATAAAAACCAGCTATATAGATAACCCAAAAAATCACTTACTGATTTTTAATAATGATTTGATGTATCCAGTTTGTATATTAGCAATAGAAATCTCCAAGAAAGAAACATATCAGATGGTCCTATGTAGTTGAGGCTATATGCAAGAACAGAAGAGGAAAATACATAGTATGAAAGAACAAAAGAGTAAAATGTGACCATAACGCATACCTATAAAAATGTTTCGGATGAAGTTCCAAGTTTATTCTAATAATTTCAGAAAATTGAG